GGGGGAGTCTTGTCTGGGCAGCGACACACTCTGCCCAGGCTTGGGCCCAGGGAGGTCACTTCGGTGCTGCTAACATAGCGGTTTGACTTCAGCCACAGAGGCCACACTCCATTGTCTCTCAAGACAGACGGATGCCAACAATAACAATATATATTTATGGCTTCGTTTAAAATAAACCTTATAAAATAATTGACTACCTGTACAGAACATATTGCAACTGGAAGTTTGACTCTTCGCCGACTAAGCCTGTTGACTCCAGAGTAACACATATTCCACACTGCCTGCTTTCTTCCCCAAAGAGCTCCACAGGCTGCTGACAGATAACAAAGTCATCTGTCTCAAACGGAGTTGAATCAGGTTCTTCTTTTACACCTTTAATAAATGGAGCAAAGAATCAGGTTTACAACCCAGCGGGGGCGGGGAATGATTAGGAACTTATGACATGCTCAGTGTCCTAAGAATAAAAGCAGCCTTACTTAAACAACTGCTACTTACAGTATAACTAACAGTATGGAGAAAAGTCTTCATATTCATGAAAGCATTCAAATTAGGACTATACAACAAGTTCAGGAATTTGGAATTGCAAATCCTAGAAGGCATTTCTAACCATGGATGGCGAAAAAACGAACAACTGAGATGAATAGACATTCAAATTTTTGCAACCCACGTTCCTGCTCCTCCCAAAAGATTCAGCATGCCTGAAAAGAGACTGTAGCATTTTGATCTGTGCATAATAAACATATGCCAAGATGGAACTATTTCAAGTTAAGTGCAATTTTACTTTTTCTTTTGCATGACCTGATTGGTTTTTCTTTTGGTTTTTTAAACACATACACAAACATTGGGCTGGATCGAGAGAACTAAAGTTTTGTTTGCAAAGACTTGATCCAGAGGATTTGTGATGTGCCATTACAGATAAATTCAATAGCAGCTTCCGTGCTCTCGATCCAACCTTAAAATATTAATTCAATTTCTTGTGTTGTCTAACTATCCACAGCTTGCAGTGCCTTTGAAAATAAATCTTTTCTCAACTATCATGATGGCTAGTTTTACACAGAAGGAAGCATTTTATCAGCTTGTCCAGCCTCTGCTTCCACCCCAAAGACTTTTTTTAAAAACACCAACAAACATAAGTGAAGGACTACAAAGCCTTGCTCTGGAGATTTTAAGTGCCGTACTGTACCAACCTTTGTTGAACAACCTTTCAGACTCTACAGAGTCACAGTCCTGCTGTCTACTGCTGCCTGCTGCTTCCACACCAGCTTCCAGGTGAAGGATTAGGACCTCTAGTTCTGTTGTTATGGCTATATATCCAGCACAAAACGCAACTTCTGAAGGAGTGATGTTATCAATGTGCAAAATTAACAAGCGTTCAAAGTCCAGCACAGTCACATTCTGACTCCTGACCAGGTGTTTCAGGGAGAACAAGATCAGTTTATTCTTACAGCCAACAAGCAGGTCTCCAGTTAAAGGACAACAGGAAAAGCACAATGGGGGGTCCGAAAGGGGCAATTCTACAATTGTAATTTGGTTCTTAGACGCTTCAGAATAGGATGCCTCCAGGTTATGGCCTATCATCCGCACACAGACGCGGGAGTTCCCAGTTGACATGCACCTCCAGTTTACATAAGCTCGCAAGAAGAGGCTCTCGTTTTTTTCCTCAACGGTGACCACGTAGTCTCCTGCAGAGGGAAAAATAGAAGCATTTTTGAAACACAGAATCAATATGTACACCATACATAAGCTGAGGAGTTACCACGTGAAAAATAGCACTACAGTGGTACCTCGGGTTACATACGCTTCAGGTTACAGACTCTGCTAACCCAGAAATAGTACCTCAGGTTAAGAACTTTACTTCAGGATGAGAACAGAAATCGTGCTCCGGCGGCGCGGTGGCAGCAGGAGGCTCCATTAGCTAAAGTGGTGCTTCAGGTTAAGAACAGTTTCAGGTTAAGAACAGACCTCCGGAACGAATTAAGTACTTAACCCGAGGTACCACTGTATCACCTTTAAGAGCAACAGGCCACTTCATCTGATTTGTTGCCCTGAGTGGCAAATACACAAGAGATTGTAGACCATGCAAGTACTCCATAACGAATTTGTTCAGCCTTCAAAAGGTGACAAAGGACTGTTGTTTATCTTGCTGGAGATTAACACGGGTACACCTCTGGAAATTTCCAAATGAAGTTACATTCGCATTATAAAATGTGTACACTTCTTGAATTAATCGGCAATGTCATCGGATGCTCACGCCACACAAGCAACTGCGCAGAATCCTATCTAGTCCACGAAGGTCACTGGGCGATCCTACCTCGCAGGATCGTTGCGAGCACAAACTGGCATGGGCTTAGGGCGGCGAGGGAAACGATCCTGCACGTGCAGCCTCGAGCTCTTCCGGAGAAAGAGGAAGAGGGGCTGACCTGCAACGAACGAAACAGATCCCGCCGTCTTCTCGGGGGCTTTGCCCAGCTTGCCACTTACCCACTTCGCTGTACGCCATGCGCAGCACCCGCCCCAGGGTGCAGAAAGAGCCGAGGGGCTCGCAGAGCTCCGGCCGGCCGGCGGCGAACACCTCCACCTTGCAGGCGCCCGGCGCACAAGCCACCAGCAGCGTGTCTCGGCCGCAGCAGAAGAGCGCCGGCTCCTGCTTGGCGGGCACCACTTGCTGCGAGCCGAAAGGGTGCAAGTTGTACAGCTGCACCATGGCTCCCGATCGCCCAGGCCGCCTCTCCGCCTCCGGCCGCTGCTGTTGGCAGAACTGCAGCTTCCGCGGCAGGCACCGCCCCACGTCGGTCAGCTGGAAGGAGGCGTCAGCCGCGCCCCCGATCCTTGCTACGGCTTCCCACAAAGGCAGCATCGTAGCGCTGTGCAGCGGCCCTGGGCGGAGGCCCATTTATACCCGTGGTTAATGTCCGCGTACGCAGAAAGGTGCGGGGTCCCAAACCTAGGGAAAGCACTGGTTCTGGTGCCAAGCAGCGCAATCTTACACAAGCACCATTGGAAGACCCCCCCCTTTTCTTCATCGAGACCCGTTGGCAGGTAAAATGTGCGCAGGATCAGAGCCCCTAGGCGCACATACTTGCAAGGAATATTTGCTTACAAGCTCCGTCGGTTACTTAGCTGGGATCGGGCTGCACTTGTGAATAGACGACTCTTAAGCAGCAGTGTGGGAAAGGCTTTGTACACGCAAGATAGAACTCGAGAGACACGCAGTACCAGCATGGTTTTAGCAAAAGAGGGTTAAAATTTGCCCGCGCGCCACTCTTCTGCTGTGTTTACGGAGAAGTTAGTTACATCGAACCAATTGCAGTTTACAGTATTATTTAAATTTATATCTCAGATTTTAACACCTTTGGTCATGGGCATATCCCAAATTTATGCTGCGGGGGTGGGGTGGGGGCAGAACTGAGCTCTGCGAAGGATTGGTCAGTTAGTTAAGGGTTTTTTTTTATTTACTTGATTTGGGAGGGGCAGTTGCCCCCCATGCACTCCCCAGGCTACGCCCATGCCTTTGGTGCCTAAAACAGCTATAACAACCAAGAAAGGAGATCAACTCAATTCTGGCCAGCTGCGTTGCACTGTTGAGGTCAATGGGGCTTAGTCCCAGGTAAATGGGATTAGGAATGTTGCCCGAATGAACCATAAGTGACTCCTTTGCCGTTACACACTTTTATGTTTGTGTGAGACAGACAGACACACACACACACACACACACACACACACATATATATAGTGTGCATATATACACATGTTGTAAACAAAAAATTGCCCCTTTCCTCTTATGGGCTTTTCTCCAAATCTGCCCTTTTTCTCTATATGGGCTCTTATCCAAGAGCCCATATAGAGTCCTTACATAGGTTCCCTGTTGGTAGGAGAAAATAACAGAGGCCAGCCAGAGAATATTGAGAAGCAAAGCAGCTAGTAAGCCTGATCTTTACTGATCTGTTGCAACAGGGTACTCCCCTCACAACCAGGAAAGGAGGAACCGAGAACAATGGTGCGCAAGGCCTTATATGGACTTTTGAAATTGCCACCTTGTAGATCAAGACCACCCTCAGAAACACCATACATACATCACAGAAGGGGTGTAACCTAAGACCACCCCCCAGATACATCATACCTACATCACAGAAAAGGCGGTCTAAAACAGAAATTTGAATGTTGTTTTTCTCCTGTCGTTGTTTATCTCCTGTCTGGCAGGTTACTTGATTGGATTGCCTGGGGAGCCTGGCCAGTCTTTTGTAATGATAAATACTTAGTTCCTGGGCCATGTCACAGGCTCACACCCTATTCAAACACAGACATACCCTTAAGACAGGATTTGTGAAGGAAAAGACAATGGGGAAGCTTTTCCATTTTCCTTTGACCTTGCAGAGAAAACATTTGGTCAGTTTGGGACAGTTTGGGAATCAAAAATGGTTCTAGGTCGGTCTTCCTGTGCTGATCTATGTACGTGCTTAGTTGGTACACTTATGAACATTTAACGTATATCTAAGACCTCAAGATTCCTATCACACACACTTGTGGATTATCATCGTATATTGAAAAAACATGCACACAACTACAACACTCGTCAGATTTCCATACCAAATATAACAATAACATATTCAACACAACCGGGCATGCTATGAGAAGCAGTAACTCAAGCGCCTTAGCAAAAGAAAAGTAAAAGACGCGGAAGGCGCGAATACCATCCTTCGGCAATTACCGGTACTTAGTCACGTGCGTTCCTTATTATGCTTTCAGGGCGCATGCTCTTTTGGTTTCGGAAACCCGAGCTGCCCCGCCCCCATAACCCCTCTCGCGCGGCGGGCGGGCCGCCCATCCTTCCCGGCCTGCTTCATTGGACGCGCGGAAGCGAGTGATGGGTAAGAGCAGCCATTCGGCAGCGGGCGTTCTAGGTCGGCCCGCCCAGCTTCTTCGCGGATTGGGAGCTGCGGCTTCTCGCTTTAACCGGGTTGGCTGACTGTGGAAGCTCTGAGGCGGCTGTGCAGGTTCTTCACCGGGCGACGTTCGCGTGGCGGGCTTTTTCGGTCCTCTCGCTCTTGCCGGGCGTTGCCAGAGCGGCTTTTAGGAGTCCGGCGGCCGCGTCATGGCTTGGAGGTTCATGAGGTGGGGGTTGTTTTGTGGGGGGGGGCGCGTCCCCGAGGGCCTAGGCAGGGAAGAATTATAAATAGGACGAAGCGCGGGGGGGCGGCGGCTCTTCCCGCGTCCACTCCCGGAAAGGAGGCCTTGACTCGAAGGGGCTGCAATTGCCAGCCGTTTCTGCCTCCGCCTCCCCTGCCGCTTTTGCACTAGGCCTCTCGAGTTATGGGGCCGGGACCGGTCGTGGTCCTTCTGCCACTTTAGGCAGGACTTGCCCTGCTGGTTGGGGACTGGTGGAGAAGCTCTTGGGCTGCCTGGCGGGGTGTTGGGAGCGGTGCCTTGTGCTGCGGTCTCAGCCTGTAATTTGGTTTTGCTGCATCATCATCATCATTATTATATTATTATTTATTAATAATATTGCTAATCAGGGCAATAAATATTTCAAAAATGCTAACAAGCGTCCAAGAGCCGCCTTCCCCCTAAAAAAGAAGAAAAAAGAAGAAAATGAATTTGGTTAAGTGCTGTGTTACTAAGCTAGGGTAAGGGAAAGGTCTGTGTCACAGAAACTTAACCTCGACCGATATATGTGCGCAAGAATGGTGTTTCCCGGGACTCTGTTTATATCATCAAGGACTTTGTTCTCATTCCTGGCCCTTGCATTTCCGGTTTGATCCACCTCTTCGCTCTGGCCTAATAATTTCTTCCTTTCTCACATTTCTTCTTCAAGTACAGTTCACAGGAGCCAACTCCTAGGGACCATGGTCCCTTTGCTCCCCCAATAAAATATTTGAGAGGGTTGCCCCCCCCAAGTTGGTGGACCTTGCCATTCAAATGGGGTGTGTGAGCCACATCATGTGGTCAGTAATGTGGGGGTGGTGCTTACCTGGGCCCCCCAATATTTTATTCAAGTTGGCACCCCTGTCCAAGTATGTTTGGTGCTGCATCAACTACATTGATGCAGCGCCGACAGGCCCATTTCTTCATACCTGTGTTTGCCCTAATTACTTATAAAAGCAGGATGTGTGTGGTTTGATTTTCAGAGCATGAGAGGGAGTAAACCCTTCATCACACTCATCCAGTGTTTTTCTCCCAAGTGTACTTCTTGGTAGCGACACTCAGCTGAGGAGAAAAGTGTTTACTGCACATATGCACATCCCTTTTGCTTTAAAAAGGATTACGACCCACATTTTATATTGAATTGGGATAGAATATCTTTGTCATGTCTAGTTTGGTCTGTATAGTAGACTTCAGGCATTCAGAAAGGGGATAACAAGTATAGAATAGTGTAATTTCACCATTTCCAGTAACACACAAACTTATTTGGTCTCAGTCCCAAGATTATTGTCTAATGTGGAACATATCACATTCCTTACTTTGAACTCATCATTCTTTCAGTACTGTCTTCAAGTAGGTTTCCTAACATTTTTTCCCCATAAATTGGTAGCAGATGGCGAGAGAGATTTGCCTAAGGTCGACACTTTTTGAATTCATAAGTGATTGGAAGTTTGATGGGTAGGTTAATTGCTAGCGGGTTGGCTAACTATTGACAAGTTTACCTTGTTGAGACAGTAGTAGCGATGAAGGTTATCTAAACTGTTTGTGCTAAAGGTTTCTTTGTGTTCTGTTTAATTTGAGTTCTCCCCACATTTGGGGGTGTAGTGGGGGGAGACTTTGAACTCACTTAGACACTTATTCCACATGTGTGTGTGGGATTTTTTTTTCTTTTTTGTGAATTGCTTAAAGTGCCAACTTCAAAGATGTCAAACAAAGATTGCAGCATTGGTTGCTAAACGTGTACAAACCATAGTTCCTTCTGATTATTAAAAAGGTAGTACAGATTAAACAACAAAATGTTGCAGTGTTCAGCTTCTGGTCAGGGTATTGGCCTCTCCATATCCCCTTCTTAATTCCTCACCCTGCAACAGCCAGTCATTTGGGGTAGGTTGAAATAGATTTAAGCCTAATCCCAGCTGAATCAAAACATTTCTCCAGCAATGTCTTTGAGCAGCTTTCATTTCTGCCCATGAAGGTATTTCAAAAGAGCTCATATCTGTGAACTAGGAAGTGACCTATCAATTGAACACCCTGCCTCCAATAACAAACAATTCCAAATGAAGTTCTTTAAAAATTCTTTTTTGCAGCAATTTTGAATGGGAATTGGATCCTGATATATATGGAGATCGGCATTACAATGCTTTTACTCGAGAATTTTATCCCAGCCTAGAAGACCTTATGGGATCAGATGCTACTATGGTGACTGAAGAAGATACGGATTCAGCTATCTTATTTGGAACTCTGAGAGGCAATGTGGTTGGATTGCGGCATTATACAGGAGTGGTAAGTACAGGAGGAATACAAATTAGTAACTGAGAACTAGATTGCTTGAAAGGAAAAACTAGGTATGTTATATAAATTCTAGATAACCAGGTTGTTTGTACTCCCAGTAATGAGCAGAGGAGACTGAAGCATTAAGTAATTTGCACTTTAATTGTAATTCCGAGGGGGGGGGGTAATTCAGGGATGGTTAACCTTTGACAATGTAGTGTCCATCAAAGATTGTTGGACTCACAGATCCCATCATCCCTGACCATTAGCCATGGTGGCTAATGAGTAAGTAAATAGGGCTTACTTGTGAATAGGATTATGTAGGAAAGGGGAAGGGTGATGGCACCGATAGGGGTATTAATATTGTTTGCCTTTTAAATAGCCCCACTCCTGTTCACTCATGTGAACTGGGCAAACCCAAATTTAAAGTATGATTGCAAGTAGTCACATCATATGATGGGTTAAGGCTGTAAATAGATGTTCTTGATAGTGATGCCTTGATTAGGGAATTCCCCTCTGTCTCAAATTCAGTTGAGGTGAGGTAATTAAATTTCTATAGCACCCTTCATCTGTGGATTGCAGGGTGGTTTGTAATATAAAAATCTTCAAGGTGGAACTTATTTTTTTGTGTATAACTTCATCCAGAGCTGTTCACTGAGCCTATTCTACAACAGATTTGGACCTTACTCTACTTCTGTGAGGTGACTGGTACTGCAAGCAAGATCCACACTTCCACTGTGTGTGTATCTTATATCAGATTCCCAATGTGTTAATTGTACAAAGAAGTGTATTTCTTTAAGTTGAAGCATTGTAGAATCATAGAGTTGGAATAGACCACAAGGGCCATCGAGTCCAACCCCCTGCCAAGCAGGAAACACCATCAGAGCACTCCTGACATATGGTTGTCAAGCCTCTGCTTAAAGACCTCCAAAGAAGGACACTCCACCACACTCCTTGGTAGCAAATTCCACTGTTGAACAGCTCTTACTGTCAGGAAGTTCTTCCTAATGTTTAGGTGGAATCTTCTTTCTTGTAGTTTGGATCCATTGCTCCGTGTCCGCTTCTCTGGAGCAGCAGAAAACAACATTTCTCCCTCCTCTATATGACATCCTTTTATATATTTGAACATGGCTATCATATCACCCCTTAACCTCCTCTTCTCCAGGCTAAACATGCCCAGCTCCCTTAGCCGTTCCTCATAAGGCATCGTTTCCAGGCCTTTGACCATTTTGGTTTGACCACTTTGGTTGCCATTATGTAGCATATCATAACGTTCCAACTTTGATTATACACTTGGGTACTGAGGCTAAAGACTGCTCTGAAGTTTAATGTACCCGAAATGTTGAGGGAAATCCTTAATCCTTCTTTAGCTTATATACAGAATGTTTCTAGTACCGTAAAAACTTCCTGTTAGAACAAGGGCTTTTGCATTTTTCTCCAAAATGAATTGAACAGTTTCCACCTTCACTTCAAGTCAGGCTATCATATTCAAATTCTTTGGCAACGTTAAAGAAATTTCAGCTGCTCTATGAGCAATGGCATATGGATGATTTTATTACTTTGAAATTTCATTGTGTTTAATATTACTGTAAAAAACATTGGAAGCAAAAAATATATGGTGTAAAGGTAAAACTGCCTTAACAGTGTTTTAAAGATAATTTGGTTGTATTTTGTGTATTTTATTGTGTATTTTCTACATTTTAAATAACGTGAAGGCTAATTTTGCAGGTCAATAATAATGAAATGGTTGCACTCCAGAGAGAGCCTAACAACGCATATGACAAGAATGCTGTAAAAGTAAATAATGCGAATGGAGACCAGGTAGGCCACATCAAAAAAGAGCTGGCAGCATCATTGGCATACATCATGGACAACAAGTTGGCAGTGGTGGAAGGGTAAGTATGTAAATGTAGGGCTATTTCCCCTGTTGTTTTCTTGAACAGCAGTCCATTGGTAGTAGTTAGTAAAAATAAGTGTTTGCTACTGTTTACATGATGTGAATCATTCTGATTGTGCCACTAAAACTAGTTTCTAATAAATAAAGTGGGATATCTGGAAGTAGAATCACAATTCACGGGAAGCAAACTCTATAAACAAAGAAGTCTCAGTATCTGATTGCTGGTTGTGCTGGTGGCTTATGTTGAACAGGTATAGTATAGTGTAAACAAACTCGCAAACGTGAAGTGGTTTACTGAATCTGTCACAGATTGATAAGTTCATTGAGGTTTAGAACTGAGACCAGATATATAAGTGTCAGGGCTGCCTCAGGTCCCAGCTCACAAGAGACCAACGCCAAGTCCAGTTTATATACAAAGATGTTTATTGCAGTACATTGTACGCTCCACAGCCGAGGCGCGCAGCCCCACGTCTGTTACGCTTAGACCGCTGAAGTCCCCTCTGAGTCAGTCCCTCCTCTGCACCAGTTTAAGAGGCTTGTGCTGCTCCACCTCTTCCTTTCCTTCCTTTTCCGCAGGGTCTTCCTGCCCCCTGGGGTTTCGCCCCTCCTGGATTCCCCTGACGCTGAATCCCCAGACAACTCTTCCCCCCTCCTGCGTGCTTTGGGACCTAGCTCCTCCTCCGGGCTCCCTGTACTTCCGCGCGCCTCCACATTTGAACTTGGCGCGCGTTCGCAACCTCTAACCTTCCTCTTGACAGTTACACTACTCCCTGCACTACTCTCCTCCCCTTCCGGGAGGATGTCTTGCTCCGATCTCCCCTCCCTCTCTGCTTTCTGACCTGCTTCTCCTGTCACACTGGAATCTCCACCCCCTTCACTGCGCTCCGGCGGAGAAGCCGGTCCCGACTCCCAGCTCCCACTTTGGGTTCCCCTGCTGCTCCCCTGCTCCTGACGAGTCCCCCCTGTGACTCCCCTTGGCCTGACCACAGACGCCCCCTTCTGGGAATCCTCCGATTCACTTGAAAGACTCATGGAATCCCTCAAGTCATTGTCATCCTCTTCCTCACCTTCCTGGGATTCTTCCCCCTCGCTCTCAGTCTCCTCCCTCACCTGTGCCTCTCTCCCTGAACCCCTGACAATAAGTAATAGTTATTCTACTATCTCTTGAAGCATTGCAGAATTAAGGTTAGGTTTTAAAGACCAAGGTTTTCCCTACCTTTGAATTTAATTAATTTTTGCCACTGAATTTCCATACCTTTTTGAAGCGTACTACTAACAAGCCGACAAAGGTCCCTATAGTTAAAGCCATGGTTTTCCCAGTAGTGATGTATGGAAGTGAGAACTGGACCATAAAGAAAGCTGATCACCAAAGAATCGATGCTTTTGAATTATGGTGCTGGAGGAGACTTTTGAGGGTCCCATGGACTGCAAGAAGATAAAACCTATCCATTCTTAAGGAAATCAGCCCTGAGTGCTCGCTGGAAGGACAGGTCCTGAAGCTGAGGCTCCAATACTTTGGCCACCTCATGAGAAGAGAAGACTCCCTGGAAAAGACCCTGATGTTGGGAAAGATGGAGGGCGCAAGAAGAAGGGGACGACAGAGGACGAGATGGTTGGACCGTGTTCTCGAAGCTACGAACATGAGTTTGACCAAACTGCGGGAGGCAGTGGAAGACAGGAGTGCCTGGCGTGCTCTGGTCCATGGGGTCACGAAGAGTCGGACACGACTAAACAACAACAACACTTAACATATTGATTCTGCAGTAGTATTGTATATGTAAATAGTAGAAACAGGTGGTTCGCTTAATTCTCTCCGCTCTTAAAATCAGCCCGCCCCCCCCCCCTCTTACCCCTTCATTCCCTTTCCATTGCATTCTATGCTCCTTTTATAGTTCATTTTAGGATTGTGGTAGTTATAGGTAAAACTAGAACTGATGAGGCTGAGATTCAAATTCCACCCAAGTATGATGCTTACTTGGCAACTTTGGTCAGTGTCTCAGTTGAACATACCTCACACATTTGTTGTGAAGATAAAAAAAACCCAGCTATTTGTGTGCACTTTATGCTGTCCCAGTGTTTTGGTTTTTTAAAAGGAAGGGCAGGGTATAAAAGTAATAATGTAATGTTTTTCCTTTTGTCTAGGGTTGTTCCTTCTGGAGCAAAGAATACTTTCACTATGCCAGTACAGTTGAGTTTTTGGGGGAAAGCAGAAAATAAGCAAGCGGTTATTGATCGACTAAAAATGCAGGGCTTTAAATTAGCTCCTCCAGGAAAAAGTAAGTTAAATAAATATTTTATACATATACTTAATAGAAATTCCTTTAATCAAAACATGAAGCATTTCTTAGCTCAGGGGTCTGCAACCTTTAAGAGAAAAAGAGCCACTTGGACCCGTTTCCGAAGGAAAAGAAACTGAGAGCCACAATCGGGCGGGAAGGTGACGTCGGGACGGTGCGGGACTAACGCACGCACCGCCCCCATGCGACGTCACAGCCAGTACAGCGCCCGCTACAGTGGGGAGTGTCGGGACGCACAATGGGCCTCCTCCCCTTGCTAGTATCCGCCCTGGAGCCGCGGCAAAGGTGTAAAAGAGCCACATGCGGCTCCGGAGCCGCGGGTTGCTGACCCCTGTCTTAGCTTATTAAACTTCTCTTCTTTTGGATCACATCAATCTCTGTAAATATAAAGCAGTTTTGATCTACTGATGATGGGAGAGCATTTGCAGTCATTGATTAGTTCCCCCCCCCTTCCCCTTTTAAAAATGATTCTCAGTTTCAGAATTTAGCGTTGGGACTAGCAAGAAATATGGCAAAGCTGGAACAAGTTACAGTGCTCCGGTTCATGCTGCTGTACAAATGACAACTGAACAGGTACAATGCATGTTTGTTGTTAGAATTTGAGTTGCTGAATGTACTTTAGAACTTTAAACTCTCCTTTTAATAGGAGTAGAGCTTTGGGGTATATTACCTTGTCTAACTTCTCTGTACAATTCTAGCTCAAGACTGAATTTGACAAACTCTTTGAAGATCTGAAGGAAGATGATAAAACACGTGAAGTAGAAGCAGCAAAGGTAATATATCCAGCATGTCACATTGATAGTGTGTTAGTGCACACGTTAAACACTGGCAAAATGCTAGTAAGTTCTCAGCTACAGGTTGTGGTTTCTGTTACGAAAATTTGTATAATATGACACCTTAATTTTCCAGGCTGTTGTAACTCCATTACTTCCACATCAGAAGCAAGCTTTGGCTTGGATGATTTCACGTGAGAACAACAAGGAGTTGCCTCCATTTTGGGAAGAGAGGGAAAACTACTTCTACAATACAATTACCAACTTTGCTGAAAAAACGCGGCCAGAAAATGTTCTTGGAGGAATATTGGCAGATGACATGGGCTTGGTAATTGTCATATTAGAATGTTGCCTCTGGGAGCCAGTGTGGTGTAGTGGTTAGAGCAGGGGTCAGCAACCTTTTTCAGCTGTGGGCCGGTCTACCGTCCCTCAGACCATGTGGTGGGTCAGATTATATTTTGAAAAAAAGAAGGGAAAAAGAATGAATTCCTTTGCCCCACAAATAACCCAAAGATGCATTTTAAATAAAATGACACATTCTACTCATGTAAAAACACGCTGTATTAAGAAGGCGATTGGGCCACATCCGGCCCCCGGGCCTTAGGTTGCCTACCCCTGGGCTAGAGTGTCAGACTGTAACTGAGGAGATACAGGTTCAAATCCCTAGGTAAAGGTAAAGGGACCCCTGACCATTAGGTCCAGTCGTGACTGACTCTGGGGTTGCGGCGCTCATATCGCTTTACTGGCCGAGGGAGCCAGCGTATAAAGCTTCTGGGTCATGTGGCCAGCATGACTAAGCCTCTGGCGAACCAGAGCAGCACACGGAAATGCCGTTTACCTTCCCGCCGGAGTGGTACCTATTTATCTACTTGCACTTTGACGTGCTTTCGAACTGCTAGGTTGGCAGGATCCAAATCCCTACTCAACTGCAAAACTCGGTGGGTGACTTTGGGGCAGTCACTGCGTCTCACTTGACCTACCTCACAGGTTTATTATGACAATAAAAGTGGGAAGAAGCATGTATGCCTCCTTCAGCTCCTTTGAGGAAGGCAGCATAAAAAAGAAATAAATAATACAAACTTATCATATGAAACAATGTTAATAAATTGTTCAATGTATTTTAGGGTAAAACACTTACTACGATAGCTGTGATACTTAGCAACTTCCATGATGGCAAACCTCTTCCTGTTAGAAAGAAAAGTGATCAACTGAAGATATTTCCTATTAAGGTAATTTACTGTTAATACCAGACCCCTGCTTGAATTGTATAAGTTCCAACTTCTCATATTTATAAGACAAAAATAATGCAGATATGTAAAGCAAGAAAGAAGGAATGATATGTCACTGATGTTCTTGTAGAATATTTGGTCTTGTTCTCTATATACAGTATATATGTGAATTTAATTTATTTGAATTCTACGTGTTACTTGGACTTTTAGCCAAGCCATCCCTACGACTCAGTTTCTTAAAAAAACAACAAAAATACCAAAATAAAAACTGTAAATAAAATGTGTTCTATCACCTCTTGTGCAGTAAAGTTTTATCCAGGCTACCAAAAGCAGCCCCAAAGAAAAGGCTCTTCAAAAGGTTCAGGATTTGGCAGTTTTCCAGAAGGAGGTACTTGTGTAGATATGGATCACTTCTGTCCAGAATAAGAGAGAGCAGATATAAATAGCCATGCCTCACAATTCTGTGTGTCTTGATTTCGGTGGAACTTAGCAAGTATAGGATTGCAGCCTAAATTCTTCTGTAGGATAAGCGCCACATTTTGTGAGAAATTCTAGCAAAGTAGAAAGTGTCTCTAGCAGCAAGTGCCATCTTCAGTAATCTTTTTTTCTTACAGGTTGTTCTCAAAAGTACATAGATGTATAAATTTACCTAGTTGCTAGTTGGCTTAGATTAGTTAACATTTGGGGCATATTGGAATTGTTTTGTTGCATTTCTGAACAAAAAATATTGTAATGCCCTAAAAATGCTATGTTTCTGGGCAACGTGTCTGATGCATTCAGTATAAATCCATAAGGCCACTAGAGGGTGCTTCCTAAGTAGACACCATGTACCAACCCTGTACTGTACTACAAGAAAGAGACTTAAAACCTCAGAGAAAATGGTCCGAATGTTGCAGTCTTCTGGAGAAGATGGGACAACAGTAGCAGCCAATTAGAAAACAAGGAACAAATTCAAACAAACAAACTGTATTCTTAATTTACAGGGAGGATCTAAAATATACAGTGTTTTAGAAATTACAGCTTATTGTTCTAAATTTTGGGAAACCTTGATTGATTGATTGAGGTGAGTGTATTATCTGAATAACTGGAACTGTCTGAAGTAGTGGAAAATATACTAACTGGTACTTTGAAGAGCTGTGCTAGCCACGTGTTCTTTCAAGTATGTTTCAACTAATTTCCATAAGATTTGTTTTGTTTTTAAACTAAATTTTAGATGCCATTTCAGTGTGTTTATTTTTCTTTTAGAAATGTGTTCCTGCTGTGAAAAAAGACCAAGAAGGTAATTTTGATCTGGAAACTAATCACATTTGTTTTGAATTCAGTCAGATGACAACTTTCAGGGAAGTTTTAATCTGTGATATTTTACTGTATCTTTGGTTTCTATGGAAGCCGCCCAGAGTGGCTGGGGAAACCCAGCCAGATGGGCGGGGTACAAATAATAAATTATTATTTATTTATTTATTTATTTATTTATTTCAGTACAAATTAATTTAATAATTTTTTTTTACATTAAATATCATAATTGATCACCAATAGCTTAAATTTATGACGTGTTGTGGAAGGGGGAATTATTGGCTTGCCTTTGTCTTTGCTTTTATTTTGTAATTATTTTTATTATGTATTTTCTGTTTCTTACACCATGATTTTAATGTTGTGAACTGCCCTGAGATCTACTGAATAGGGTGGTATGCAACATTTATTAATTAAATTAATTAACTAATAATAAGTTATTAGAGAAATCATGGAGTGTTTTTTGTTTTGTTTTTTAATACTTATTGTTAAGCACCCAGAATTGGCCTGCAGCTGAATGCTTCTGATACAAAGGAGAGTGAGTCTCTTCCATCTCAGTCATCCAGAACCCATCCAAAGAGGTAAGCAGATTTTATCTGTTCTTATAAGTCAATTGCAAACTACTTCTGAACTGTTCTCTTCCCCCTCCCCTGTTTGTGAGAGGGGGTGTTTCTTGGGAGAGAGGTTGCTTTCTGGAGTGAAATCAAATGAGTTTTTTAGATGTGCGAAACATGTTGCAAGGTTATCTTTATTCTGGCCCATTTGGTGACTAGCGTAATTTCTCTTCAATGCTACTGTTTGGTAAATTTATCTCTATACCATATCAATCTAAATGATCAGATAAACGCTTGTGAAATCCTCTATTCATTCTAATCCTTTTGCTTTCTAAATGCTTTAGAGCTATGGGCAAAAAGCCAAAGTATACAGTAAGCAGTGACTCAGAGCCTGAAGAGCAGAACACAGAAATAATGGAAAGTGAGCTTCACTTATTTTTTTTGGGGGGGGGGTTCATTATATTTGTTTTAACAACTTTATTGATTTCCACACTGTGTTAACACTTTTCTTGTTTTCCCAGCCAAAGTGCAAAAAACGCATCCAGCAACAAGAAAGAGAAGAAAAGGTATGATGCTAGTACTTAAAAAATACTACCGTCAAAAAGTTATTGTTCTCCCTTCCCAATAAAACCTGATAACAGTACCCTAATGAGGCCTTTCTAACAGAGAGTGTGTGTGACTTTTTGCAAAACTTTTTTGCAAAAATATACTGGTGCATAACACATGGTTGTTGGCATGGTGCAAGTGAATGTGTGTTTGCACATTGTCACTATGCTTATGGATGGGCTGCTTTAGGTATTTGAATTAACTGTCCTGTGGTCTAGTTGAATCAGGACTGGCTCTAAGCTAGGAAGAATAATCTTTGATCTATGAACTGTAATATCTGTATTAATTGTGGTGGCTAAACCTATAGTTCTCATCTTCTTTATACCTAGAAGACAATGCACGGATAGTATGTGTACGAGTTCTCACATGATTCTATAAACAGATTATTTTAACTAATTTAAACAGGAACTTTCATTTTTCAAATGTATGTGACTATTTAGTTATAAAACATTTTCACAGCTTCTTGTGATATTCAAGAGGATAAAGCATTTGCTTCTGCTCTTGAGGAACCAGCCATTTCTTCAAAAAAGACAAAGAAAAAAGGTATCCAAACTATTAAGCTTTTCGTTTTACAATGCCACTTAACACGAAATGCTACACAGTATACTTTTTAACAAGCCTATAGTTGGGAAGGGAAGGAAGACACCTGAAACTTCTGGACTGATTGAACCATGTAAAGCGAAGATTCCTAGCTGGTTGTATGCAGACCCCAGGGGCTCTATGTAACCCACCCAGGGGCTCTGTGGCACCATTAATATAACAAAAACTATCATAGAGGTATCAAAATTTTCAGCAGTAAGGGCTCCATGGCTTGGCTTTTGAAAAACAGGGGGGTCTGCAATACTTAGCTAATTGGGAACTACTGGTGTAAATGATTGGATTCCTATGCAGTAGTTAAAGCAAAAATGGGAATAATACATACTTAGGATTAGAAATGATAGTAAATAATTGCAAATTGACTGGATACATCTAAAGAGGACTACATGGAAGTAATCACTGTGCAGTTACATTGCTAATTATTGTTTTTCCTCTTCAAAGGTGGTGTTACTATTCAGCATAAGAAAAATGAAGGTGAAGAGACATTGGGGACAACACTGATCATTTGTCCACTTTCTGTCCTAAGTAACTGGATTGTAGGTGTTAAATTTAAACAATTGTGCTTTTCTAAGATAAAAATATGGCATCTTAACTTCTAAAAAGAATGTTAAAGTGAAGATATATGGGGATTAGAATTTTAATACAGCCTAAATGTTCATAACCAAGATTTAAAGCACAATCATATTTATTCATATATTCTATTGAATTCATTGGGGCTTATTCTAAACATAGAATTGCAGCCAGAGTAATATAATTTAAGACGGTTGATGATGAACCGAATGGGTTGGGTATTTCTAATGTTGACTGTGCCTCCAGCCTTGAAACTATAGTATGCAAGTTGCTCCCATTTTTTTTCAGCAGAACAGCTTCCATTGTAGTCACAATAAATCTGAATTAGGCTTAATCTTACTGTGCTTTATCAGGAAGGGCTGTGGCTTAGTGGTAGAGCATCTGCTTTGCCTGCAGAAGGTCTCAGGTTCGATCCCTAGCATTTCCAGGTAGAGCTGGGAGTGCCTCCTTTCTGAAAGATGCAGAGCCACTGCCAGTCAGTGAATATAGTACTGAGCTAGATGCCCCAAGGGGACACGGGTGGCGCTGTGGGTTAAACCACAGAGCCTAGGACTTGCTGATCAGAAGGTCGGCGGTTCGAATCCCCGCGATGGGGTGAGCTCCCGTTACTCGGTCCCTGCTCCTGCCAACCTAGCAGTTCGAAAGCACATCAAAAAGTGCAAGTAGATAAATAGGTACCGCTCTGGCGGGAAGGTAAACGGTGTTTCCGTGCGCTGCTCTGGTTCACCAGAAGCAGCTTAGTCATGCTGGCCACATGACCCGGAAGCTGTACGCCGGCTGCCTCGGCCAATAAAGCAAGATGAGCACCGCAACCCCAGAGTCGGCCACGACTGGACCTAATGGTCAGGGTTCCTTTACCTTTTTTTAGATGCACCAAGGGTTATGATTCCTATGTTCCTGACTGTAGTATAGCTTAGAAATCTCTTGACAGATGTCAGTTGTTGAGCCATCAGTTAATCGCAACCATCTGGTTAATTTTTATTTCAGGATCAGTTTGAACAACACGTGGATCCGGGTGTTCACTTGAACATTTACGTTTACTATGGCTCGGAGCGCAGCAAAGATCCAGCAGTACTTTCAAGACAGGATGTTGTATTAACAACTTACAACATTTTAGCTAGTGACTATGGAGTAAGTATGGTGAAAAGTTGCAGCAAGATGAAGAAAAGCAGTTTATATATCACAAATATTTGACTTTTGTTCTAAAATACAACCTACTAGTCTTAAGCTTTTTTCAAATCAATGCCAAATGCTCCCTTGTATTCCTTTTTTAAAAAACATGTAATCTGCTTTTCCCATTGTATGAGTCTTTAGTTAAGAACAAGCGTATATATACGAAGGAGGTTTTTGTCTTGTAGAAGGGTGTCCTCAAACATAAACTGCCGTCGCTCATCTCCTATCATCACCCATGACCTCTTTCCCCAGATGGGCGCTGGATAAAATTAGCGCACTTGACAACTACAGGGGCAGGGTTCCTCTGTGAATCTGCAGTTCTAAGCAGATGCACAGAGAAAATAGGCATTAATATTTTCTGGTGTCTCCAGTTGGTAGAAAGTGGGATGAGATGGCAAATGTTCTTTTTTACTCCCGCCCAGGTGTTTTAGTTTCTAATGGCTTCCAGTCACTAATGGTTTCTATGCTTTTATCTTGAAACAGTTTAATGTTTTATATTTGAGGTGTTCATTATACTCCAGCTGCACTATGATGCACTTTCATATAGGTTGTTATATTTTATTATACTGTAAGTTTTTTGGGATTCTATCCAACTAAGTCATATTCAGAGCAGACCCACTGAAATTGATGGACGTGACTAACTTGAGTTCATTGATTTCAGTGGGTCTCCTCTGAGTGCAACTTAGCTGGCTACAACTCTTGGAGTCTTGTTCTACCTGGCATTAAGTGCTTAAATTACTGTAATGGATAGCTTGGAAATAACTTGGATGTTATTCTAAGTCAGCTGTTGCAGAAGGAGTAGTAAAAATAAGTGAAATTCTGTACCTGGAAGCTCTCAAGGCTTTCATGTTTCCCAGCTGGGCAACAGAAAGATAAACATTTGGTTCCTGCTCTTAGAGCTTGAAAATGATATCAGTTCTGAGAATTGCATACCTTTTAAGGATGTTCAGTGGAGACTGATCTTTGTAAATGTAGGTGTGGGCATTTAAAAACAGATCCACTGCAGTGGGTGTGCATTCCTTAAGTAGCAGTATAGAGGTTTAAAAGCACATGCTCAAGTAGCAAATCTTTTACAGCAGTTTTAAGTTGCAACTGATGTTTGGAGTGTGTGGGGGGATTGCGGTGGAGAGAATACTGCTCAAACTGGATAGTAATACTGGGACTATGTGTGGTGGTGCAGTGCCTGCTGGCTGTGACTTTTTTGTCTGTTTAAGCAGCTGACACAATCTTGCCTTCCTCTGCCCATTTCTTAGGTGATGTTATTAATTGCATCTTGATGTGGGTGCTCACCCTTGGAAATAGAATAGAAAACTTTGGTTTTTCTCATACAGCTCCAATGGAAACACTTGTAAAATACTGAGCTGTTTTGGCACCTGCTAAAAATGATTTTGTTTAGGCAAGCATGTCCAGTAATGTAAATTGGATGTGTATTTTATTATGCAATTTTATTTTGTAATGTGTGTTTGTATGTGTGTGTTATATATATATATATTTGAAACTACTTACTCTGTTTATGTTTTGATTTTATTTTTGGTCAACTTTATATGTTATGTAAACTGCTTAGAAGTTTAGTGATTGTAATCCTGTTAAATAAACAAAAGCTCTTTCTGGAGTGAAATAGGGCCTGTATTACACTTCCATTTTCTCAGTCCCTTAAAGACAAAACTCCAGTTGCTTAGCTGCTGCTTTATTTTAAATCATATGACTAACAGTTCTATTGATACGTTCTGATGACTGTCATGGGAATAAATTTAATAAATCTGTGTAGTATCTGCTTTAGATGTGAACTGTAAGTAGAGCATGCTATATTTAAGCCATTCAAATAATTTCCCATATCTTACACTGTGTGTGTGTACATACACACACCTATGATCTGGGGGCAAGTGTGGCCCTCCAGGTCCCTCTATCTGGCTCGTGGGGCTCTTTCTAGGCCACACACCCTCTGCACTTGCACCTTCCTTGAGTATTTTTATTGGTTGAAATTGTCCTTGTAATGCCTCTTGCATTAATTGGGTTGGATTTTCAGTGAAGCAGCAAAAGTGATTTGGCTTCCAGGCCTTCATGCACGCTTGATGTAGCTGACTTCCTCTATTCCTCTTCATAAAGGTTACGTATATTCTTCTGGAACAGAGAATGAAAGCAAAATGGTTTCTTTTAGTTTTTTTAAGTCACTGCTTATTTTACAGAGTTTACTTATACCCTTAAAGTACTACAGCCATTATTTAAATTTTGTTCTAGGCCAGAGGTAATAGCCCTTTACACAAATTAAAATGGCTGAGAGTGGTGTTGGATGAAGGACACACAATACGAAATCCAAATGCTCAACAGACAAAAGCTGTACTGGACCTAGATGCACAAAGAAGATGGATTTTGACAGGTAATTATTGCAAAGGGAGAACACTGCAGCACCGTGTTAATTGACTATAAGTGTTATGCTTGTTGAACAGCTTACTGATTTCAGTAAGATTTTTCAACAGTACTGTGATGCATTATGTCTCTTAGTTTGTTTTGCACTCTGTAAAATTGCTTTAGTTAAGATTGTAGCTTGCTACTTGCTTTGGGGCACGTGTGTATGCACTCCTCCCTCCAGGGAGCATTCAATTAGCAAATTTCAGCCCAGGCAGGAGCAATCAGTGCAGTGGGATAGTACTACACCACCCTATCGACAGCACTGTTGCTTCCACTTAGCAGGATGGGGCAGGGCAGTAGCAAGGTCAGGGCTTGTATGGACAGATCAGCAGAGCTAATATGGCACTCTGGGCTGCTACTCTGACCTGCTCCTGCACCATCCTGGCAAACAGTAGAGACCCCCACTTTTGGAAGGGTGGCAGTGCAGCAGCACCCTGTCTGCAGCTGCTCCTGAGCATGTGGAATTTAGCAGCATGTAAGAGATGCAAGAGCAGTTCTGCTAGGGATGCAACATCTGTATTTGCTTCCCTTCTGATCATACTAGCTGCTTGGCATTGAAGCCACCCAGAGAAGCAGCCAAAACTACTGTCCTATTCCAATGGAAGTGCTGTTTCCGCTTTGAGTGCCTGATGTTGCTCAGGGGGCGGTATGAATGTCTTTGCTGGAAAAAACTGCATTTGTAGTGCATATGCAGACATTTTCTCGCTTTCAGATGATAACTCTCTGAAAGCAAGCACCTTTTCGACTGTATTTTTCTGCCTGCCTCCAGCACTGCTTTTACTTTTCCAGTCATAAATTCCAGCTGCAAAAATGCAGCTGAAGTGGCTGCTTCCTGTTCTGAACAGTTCAATTGCTCATCAAACAGTGAAGAAATTAGTACATGAACTGATGGTGTTACTGTTAAAACCTGATTTGAAGCCATGGTTGGACTAGATTCAAACTCTTATCACTGTTTAGTTTTAATGGACTACTGGGATCAAACCCATAAACTTAGATTAAAGAAAGCATCTCTCCCAGGACAGCAATTGTTCCTGGCCTTAAAGTTTAAATTTTCACTTAATTATACAACTGAATAATAGTTTGAACCGGGGCACCTAGGCTGAGAAATGCCGGCCATCACACCCTTTTCTTGTGCCACAGCATCTCCGACCCTCGGGGAAGCATTTATTGAGGACTCCGGGACTGGTGGGAAAAACAATAGGCTGAAAAGTCAGCTTCTGCCAGCCCTGTTATATGGGCTGATGATCCAGAGATCCAGCCCATTTTTAACTTGCTGATTATAGTGGAGTATTGAGGTTGACATTAATATTAAAATGAAAGTGCAGCTTTGTAAACAAATGCATCAATGCAGTTTAAGCCCAAGAATATTTATTTTCAGTGTAAACTCTTATTTTGATCAGGCTCTATGTCTTTTAGGTAATGGCTGTACCTGACTAAAGATGTTTCGAAAGCTAAGCAAAGTAGATGCCAGAACTGTTGCATTTTGCAGTAGTGAGGGACTTCATTATTTACAAGGAGGCACTGCTTTTAAAAAACCATTTTTAATTCATGAAATAAAATCATCAGGATCTAGTGCCAGAATGTGTTGATCCAAAATAATAATCGATGATACAGTCTTGCAACGGTGTGTGGGTTTCCATCAGCCTGCAAGCCAGCCAATCATCTTAAGGCAGGTTCATGTAAATGTAACTTTATAGGAAATTAACAAATGTTTTAATATGTGAAATTGATTTTAAAAAAACTTGCCTAGCAGAAGCTAACTACTAATGGTAGAGTGGTACTTAGCAATACAGTGGTGCCTCGCAAGACGAAATTAATCCGTTCTGCGAGTCTCTTCGTCTTGCGGTTTTTTCGTCTTGCGAAGCATGGCTATTAACGGCTTAGCGGCTATTAACGGCTTAGCGGCTTTAAGAAAAAGGAAACAAACTCGCAAGAACTCACAAGACATTTCATCTTGCGAAGCAAGCCCATAGGGAAATTCGTCTTGCGGAACGACTCGAAAAACGGAAAACCCTTTCGTCTAGCGAGTTTTTCGTCTTGCAAGGCATTCGTCTTGCGGTGCACCACTGTATTTTGGTGTGATTTTTAAAAATAATACATAATAATATTTACCTAAGAATTCAAGCTGATACAATGATACAAATGCCAAAATAATTTTTGGCAAGTTTTTTATACTTGTACAAGGATATTTTTTGTTTACCCAGTCTTTACTTTTGTTTTTGAGTGAATTTTATGTGGTGTAATCATAATGTGTGGCATGTTTTTGTTTTGTCTTTCTTCTTCTTTTTAGGCACACCTATTCAGAATTCCTTAAAGGATTTGTGGTCTCTTCTTTCCTTTCTAAAGCTGAAGCCTTTTACAGATAGAGACTGGTGGCACAGAACAATCCAGCGTCCTGTCACTATGGGAGATCAAGGAGGGCTTAAGTATAAAATATTTCTAGTTTCTAGTTTTCTAATACATATTCTTGATAAGTACATTTTGTAAAGATAAGTACAAGATCAGTGGATTATACATAAACTGAATGATGTGTGAAGAATACAGACTTCATTTAAAGTTCTTTTAGTAAAATACAGAAAATTTTCAGTTTTCACTGGGTATACAAGACTGAGCGACCGAGATATAAAATATATCTGATGTTAAAGCCTCACGTGTGCTTCTTTTGTCTTGCTAGGCGTTTACAATCCCTAATTAACAGCATTACACTTCGAAGAACTAAAACAAGCAAAGTTAAAGGGAAGCCAGTTTTGAAGCTCCCAGAACGCAAAGTATTCATTCAGCATATTACACTTACAGATGAAGAGAGCCAAATGTATCATTCTGTGAAAAACGAGAGCATTGCTGCTGTTAAGAGGTAAATAGTGCCAGCTGTTAAGTGGAAGAACAGAATTCCATTAGGTTGCATTCAGTAATTGTTGTAGTCTGATTTTTTATCTTGCATGTCTTATAATGCAATACTAAATACGTCTACTCAGAAATAAGCCCTGTTGGATTCAGTAGGACTTAACTCCAAGGTAAGTGTATACAGTGGTACCTTGGTTTATGAACTTAATCCGTTCTGGAAGTCCGTTCTTAAACCAAAACATTCTTAAACCGAGGCGTGCTTTCCCATAGCAGTGGGGGACTCAATTTACAAATGGAACACACTCAACAGAAAGCAAAACGTGTTCTTATTCCAAAGAAAAGTTCACAAACCAAAACACCTACTTCTCAAAACGGGGCATGAGATTTTAACTAAGTGGCTCCTGATAATGCCATTGTTTTTCAGTCCATTATGGAGGGTTAAATGACATGGGAAGCAAAGTGGATACACATACATTTACACACCCCTTACACTGAGGTGCCTCATTTGATAGCCTGGATTGTAATCCTTGGTTAAGTTACTGTTTCCAACACTAATGGTATCGTAAATATGACCTAACAAATCCTGCAAAGTTCTCTAATTATGGCACAAGAGAGAATTGGGCCAGAATTCGGAGGATTTGTGGATCACAGCTCAAGTATTTAAACTGTGACACTTGATTTATTTAATGTCAAAATTTATCCTGCAGGTATTTCAGTGATAGAAGTGTCCTGACCCACTATGCAGATGTTCTTGGTGTGTTGCTCAGGCTGAGACAGTTGTGTTGTCATCCATGGCTCTGTACAAGTGTGTCCTCATCCAGTGATACAGAAGGTAAGTATTCCTATGTTCTTTTAAAAACATAGGAGACCTTTAATCTCAGGTGTTGACACTTCTTGGTTTACGGCGGTTGCTGATGATCCAAATGGGTTGGGTAATATCTTTCTGCACGTGACGAAGGCAGGAGAGCAAAGAACTCCACAGTAAAAAGTTGTGTGTCATCCTTGCTTCTATTAATGCACACCTGCCAGTTGTTTAGTGTTCAGATCTGTGTACCGCATATACTTGAGTATAAGCTGATAGCACATTTTTTATGCTGAAAAAGCCCCCCTCGGCTTATACTCGAATGAGGGTCCTTTCAGGCTGCTCCTTCCTCCTCCTCTGCCTTTGCTGCTGTCGGCGGCCGCGGAATGAGCAGCCCAAAAGCAACCCTTTTGGGCTGCTTGTTCTTTCTCTGCCACTGCCGCCATCAGCCTCTGCCTCTTGGCAGCACCCTAGGTAGGCAGGGGGACGGGAGGGGCTGGGGGGAGAGAGAAGCCCCCTCTGCTGTGTACGCATGCACACACACGCACTCTGGCCCACCAGGAGGTTTGTGGTGTGGTGAGTCATACTCGAGTCAATAAGTTTTCCCAGTTTTTTGTGGTAAAATTAGGTGCCTTGGCTTATATTCGGGTCGGCTTATACTCGAGTATATATGGTAAGTGAATACTCAGGAGACCGGTATGGCTAGAGTACCAGCCAGTTGCCCTCCACATGTTTTGGACTACAGCTTTCATCAGCTTCAGTCAGCATGACCAGTTGTCAGGGATGATGGGAAATACAGTCTGATTTTCCCCAAGATGCATTTTGCTTGATAAGTGTTGGCTCAACATAGGACAACTTCATGTACTGCATGGTCTAATAGTTCTTCCTGCAATCTGTTCTTTGGGTCTCCTAGCCTCTCTTACTTTGACCATCGTTGAAGCGAGATGAGGGAGGCAGGGGCCTACACTTATACTTTCCGTGTATAAGACAATGCTTTTGCTTCAAAAAAATTAGGCAAAAATTGGGTATCGTCTTATACACGGATAGTGAATTCGGGGGGGGGGTGCAATTAATGGCAGCAGCAGCAGGAGATTGGCAGCAGCGATTGGTGGCTGTGGCGAGGTGTGTAATCGGCAGCGGCAAGCGATTGGCAGTGGAGGGCAGGCGGGTGAGTGATTGGCGAAAGTGACCCCCCCAAAAGCTAAACAACTTAATTTCGGGTATAAAAAAATAGAGGGTGTCTTATACATGGAAAAATACAGTATATTTCGCTCTGACAAGAAAAACAAACTACTTGTTGTCAAAAAGAAAATAAATATTTGCTAGAAAAAGTCAGTTTGTGACTAGTGGGCACTACACAGGACTTGAACTTGTGGTCTACATAGTGAATCTGCTGAGTAAGCTGTTGGAGAATTTTAGCTTCATGCTTGGTGAGAATAATTTTGTGTATGTAAAAAGATATTTCTGTAAATATCTTATCTGAGACAACTAGAATGTGAAATGTTCAAATGCATAGTCTCAAAACAGATACTTGGAAAATGATGTTTGTTATCTCATGGGGAAAAGATAATTCTTTTTAAATGCTAGTAAATATCACTGTAGTGGTAGCTCTTCCCCTTAAATACTGTTAACTAATAAGCATTTGAGTACAGTGGATAAGTATATTGTTCCAATATGAATTGTGATATAGTATCTATTATCTAAAAGCAAATTTAGGGGTTGACAGAAGTGGAGCCAAAATGTTGCTATTGTGAAATAAAAGGGGCACTGACATCCTTGGGGGATAATAAAAGTTCTAAAACATTCCAATCCTTTAGGGGCATCTTCCACGAAAAAACCTAAATGCCACCAGCCCAGCCCAGTGAGGACTAACTATGGTCACCACCCACAGAATGTTGAGAATCAACTGGAAAATAAAAAAGGGAAAATCAGGAGGCTGGGAGAGAGAGCTGAAATAACCTGCTAGTTAGGGGAATGGCTATCTGGAACCTTCAATAGGATAAATCCTACTAGAAGATGAAATACACTGCAACATTTTGTTGTAGATCCTGCTGAAATAGATGCACTTTTGTGGTTATCGTGCACTGTGATACTTTAACCCAGTAACATTGCTCTTTTTAATTTTTTGTGTATGTGTTTGGACAGCTAATAGTACCCCTGAAGAATTGCGTAAGAAATTAATAGAAAAAATGAAGTTCGTGCTCAGCTCTGGATCAGATGAAGAATGTGCCATTTGCTTAGAGTCCCTGAACTTTCCTGTGATAACACACTGTGCCCATGTGTTCTGTAAACCATGTATCTGTGAAGTCATCCAGAGAGAGAAGGTTAGTTATTACCTTTACGAAACTGCAGTGAAGGCAGTTTATATCAGTGGCCAGTAGGGCTACTGTTTTGATAAAACTGGTTAATACTCCTTATATTTTATTTTAATTTATTGCCATCGAAACTAATCTACTGACTTTTCTACATTCTACTGCATGTATTCCTCTTGATTCTGACCTTTTGATTGTATTGACCTGCACGGTTTTTTGTTGTTGTTTTCCCCCCCCCCATATGTTTATGATGGCTTCACATTAGACTGAATTGGTACATTGGACAACTTTAACTTGTTTAATTTCAAGGTTTTGCTCAACACCTTTTTGTCATAATTTCATTGCTGTTGCATGTTTTTTGGTGAGAGGAGGGAAAATGCATAATTATGGTAATAATGGTTAACAGGTCCTACGTGGCATTCTTAATTCTTTCATAGGGGTGTATTGCCACCCACATCATGTCAAACCAAATAGCAGATCAAAATTGGTAAATATCACTCCTGTGCAAGACCTCGTTATTATTTTTTTAAGAAACCCAAATGCACATTGCTTCCCATCTCCATTTTGTCTGTAGTGAGACGTAACTATGGGCTGGTAATATTTGCTGTTACGCACTTCTGGCAAATTATTTTGTTTTGAAAAGCTATGAATGCCCGGAGCAGGAAAAGGCAGTGGAGGTTGGGGACGAGTGATTGCAGAGAGGGACAAGAAACACACACAGCCCAGGTACATTCCATCAAGTTCCACCCATTGGGGTGGAGGCAAGCAGTGGACAAGCAAAGAATATTCATGACTGAAGAAAAACAATGTGTGGAAACTAACGCGCTAAGCCGACACATAGACAGCCTGATCTGAATGACCCGTCTGCTGTATAAAGCCGCTGTCAAACCAACCTTCATCTAAATAGGACTCTAGCCCACAGCAATACAATTAATGGTGACAGTAAGCCAAACTGTATCTAGGAAAAAAGGGAAGGGGACTCCGATGTCAATTGTACTGTACACAGTATGGCAGTATTGTTTAATTTGTTCATGGTAGAATGTTACCTCCAAAGAGACCTGATTAATTCTTCTTCTTTTTCAATTTTTTTTATTCAAAATTAAAACAAAACACAATATCCAGAAACATATCATCCTTACTTTCCCCACATTTTTCCTCCCTCCCCCCACCCTCCCACACAACCCCCCCACCCCCCGACTTCCCTCAGTTCCATTCTTTGATTTCTCTAAGAATGCTGATTTCTGCATGTTACAAAGTTGTATAGATCCTCAAGCTATTTAGCTGATTATTATCAATAAAAAGTTTGTGAATGTTTATTCAAAGCCAGGCAAGGAGTCCAGTTCGCTTTGTTGCGTCTTCAAATACTTTGTAAAGGGTTAGGGTTCTTTAATTCTTTGTAGTAGTCACTTTGTATATTGTTTTATGCGAAACCTTACCCTCTTCAAAAAACCGCTGAACTACTAACCGAAGCATAATACAAAAGCTAGCCTTTAAACATGCAAATCACAACGGTGTATTTCTCAGAACTATAAACTTGTGTTGTCTTTTTCAGACAAACGCCAAATGTCCTCTTTGCAGGAAAGAGGTTGGATTAGAAAATTTAGTAGAATGTCCTTCAGAGGAACTGGATAGTGAAAAAAAGCCTGGCCAAGAATGGGTATCTAGTTCAAAGGTAAATGTCAGATTAGAACGCTTCATTGTCTTTATTCTGTGGTATGCAAAATATGTTCTTAATTTGTTTTGCATTTTTGCACCAAAATATTACACTTTAGATATTTACCACACTGGCTAAATTTTGATACATGGATTGTGCTTAGTAACAGGAAAGGGCATGAGTTAGCCACTCTTTATGTTCAGTCTTCTTGGTCCTACTTCTTCCTTCTTCCTTACTGATTTTTGGTGTCTTTTTCCTCTGTGCCCTCATTAAGGATTTAAGCAATTCATCTAGACTTTTGCAAGAACTCTGCTTTCTCCATATTATTTTCTATTACCTTGTCCTAGCCTTTAGCCATCTTCGCTGCTTTATGCCACTGAAAGCAGTGGGAGGTGAGGCCATAACTGGAAAGAATTGTTACCTATGGAAAATACGTGGCTTGCACATTTGTGAATTCCTGATATCTTCCTACATTTAATTCCATTTATCAATGTGACTTAGGTTGCTACTTCCTAAAATTCACACATTACTTTCATGTATGTGCTAACAGTTCCTGTTGCTTTCCAAAATTGAGATTCTAGGTCTTCTAAGTAATGACATTTTATATAGGAAATTAAGTTTTCTTCCCAATTCTTGTAACCTGTGATATTAGTTCCAGATTCACCGATTTTATTTCATTTCTGTTAGGCCAATTATTTTTGGTATGTGGTGGTAAGAAATGAGAGAAACAATTGGTCAGTCTAGCACACAGGACTCTGAGAACATGCATGCTTTCCTTTGTAACAATAAAACTAACCTCAGGAAAATGAAGAGATTCGTTGTTAGTAAAACTGAAAATAACTACTTTGTGTTTCAGGTCAATGCATTGATGCATGCCTTGATAAAACTAAGGAAGCAAAATCCTGCTGTTAAGAGTTTAATAGTTTCTCAGTTCACAAAGTTCCTGTCTCTAATAGAGATTCCACTAAAGTAAGTAGAAATATGTGCTTGTTAAGTTTCTTCAGCAAAGAACTGAAAAATGTAAATACTTGCTATCTAATCTGCTGTGCTGCGTGCATTCCTGCCCCTCCAAAAAACAGACAAACAAACAAAAACAAAAAAACAAAACAAAAATTTCTCATGAAAAAAATCAAAACTTCATATCAAAGTAGGGTTTTTCATTTTAGGGGGTGTGAAACTTAGTTTTTGCAAATTTCTTCAGTGAGGCATCTTAAAAAGATGTTTTTGGGTGTGAATAAATCAAATCTGCTATTATTTTTATGGCTGGACAACATTTAGCTTGATAAGTCTACATTTGATGAAGAAGCACATAAGCTGCTTTTGGAAAACCAAAGAATTTTAATTTTATCTTCTGAAAGTGTCAGATAATAATTATAATTAATAATATAACTGCAAGTACTTGGCAATCATTTTTAATGATTTATATGCAATTTTACACACATTTTACTTAGCAGCAAAATACTAACCAAAATATCTTTTGATAACCAAAGGCATGGTATAACTTTTTAGCACCCTTCATTTTGGGAATTTGGAATTTGAAAAATTCAGCATGCCACAAGATGAGGTCAGAACTCTCAAACTGACTAACTGTTGTACTTCTTCTGATTCAGGGAATCTGGGTTTGCTTTTGCTCGTTTGGATGGGTCTATGACACGGAAACAAAGAGTACAGGCAATTCAGCAGTTCCAAAGTAATGCAGAAGGGTCCCCAACTATAATGCTGTTATCTCTAAAAGCTGGTGGTGTTGGTTTGAATCTCACAGCAGCTTCACAAGTATTTTTAATGGATCCAGTAAGTATAAACAAGTCAATCAGTGTGATATTTACTGGCTCTGCAACACATCCTAGAAATAAAAGAAGGAATGAGAAATTCATTTTTAGCTGCTAGATAGTGGCAAAAGAAAGTGATAATGGTGCTATTAACTGCAGCAAAAAACAGGTTCTACCCCATCAGGTTAGCTGTGGTAGAAAACCTGTAATAAAGTTACTGATTTCAAATGTGCATAAGTTAACTTGAAAAGCTAAGGGAGCGATCCTAACCTCTGGCTGGCAGAGGTGTGGTTTGATGCGCGTGCATTTTCAGGAGTAGAAGTTGTGGAGTGGGGAGGAAAAAAGTCCCTTTGCTGTCCCAGCTCCAAAGTTGGTTCAGTGAAAAGGCCCAAATTGGGCCTCTTGTAACATGATGACAGCAGGTTTGTACAGCCTCTCCTCTCAGGGATTTCTGCTGGTTACTGCTGTCGGAAATGCTATCTACCTGGCATTTGGGATATGTATGTTGAGGTGCTCCTTGCTGGTGGAGGCTGAGCAGGGGGACATAATAGTTCCATCCATACCGCTTCAAGATCAGGAGTTTGTGTGCCTGCTATCATCCTTATAAGAAAAAGTGAAATTGTATCAGTTCGTTCCTCCCCCAGTCATTTTTAAAGGCTTTATATCTTATGGAAGTGAATGTGCTCCCCTGGAGAGCCTTTGTTTTCTAGCTTAACTATAATCAGAAATCCGTTTTTCTTCAAGAATACTCTTTAGTCCAGGCAGCTTGATGGGATAGGCAGTTTGTCACCAAGAAATGGGCTGGTGGACTGATGTGTCATGTATATAACTAATAGAAAATGGAATATGTTATTCTCAAGTCTTCCAACGCCATACTAGTAAAACACTAAAGTCCCACAGTGCTATAGTGATCATAGCTTAGAAATCTGAAATGTGAAAGGACATTACTTTTGGCAAGGCTTATCATGACTACTGAATATCTCTGATAGGCTTGGAATCCTGCTGCAGAGGACCAGTGCTTTGACAGATGTCACAGACTTGGGCAGAAGCAGGATGTTGTCATCACCAAGGTGAGCTGGCGATTATCTTAAGCACCTGTGGTTATAAGAAGTTGCTTTTAATTCGAGCACGCCTGAACCCAGAGTCTGCAGTTGTGCTTAGGGATGCAGTATAATAAAAGAGGGACTAGCAAGGAATTAAGGGAAATGGGTGGCGTTGTGGGTTAAACCACAGAGCCTAGGACTTGCCGATCAGAAGGTTGGCGGTTCGAATCCCCATGACGGGATGAGCTCCTGTTGCTCGGTCCCTGCTCCTGCCAACCTAGCAGTTCAAAAGCATGTCAGAGTGCAAGTAGATAAATAGGTACCACTCCAGCGGGAAGGTAAACGGCGTTTCCGTGTGCTGCTCTGGTTCGCCAGAAGCGGCTTAGTCATGCTGGCCACATGACCCGGAAGCTGTCTGCGGACAAACGCCGGCTCCCACGGCCTATAGAACGAGATGAGCGTGCAACCCTAGAGTCGGTCATGACTGGACCTAATGGTCAGGGGTCCCTTTACCTTTAGCAAGGAATTAAATCGCATTTTCTGTATTGCAAACATGTGGCCTTTGAAACAACAGTGCGCATAGAGTAGCTAAGGGTGTATGTGAAGAGCGTTAAAAAGATGAACTTTTGCCAGTTAACTATTTGGCACAAAGATGGGAAACAGACTGAAACTTGCTTCCCTCACTGACATGATTTCAGTTTTGTAAAATGGCCTCTGATGTTTGAGTGGGGTCTAATGTTTGAGTGGGGTCTTGATGTTTCAGTCTAAGTCGGTATAGTAATGTAAGACAGCTTCCCAACACATAAGGCTCCTTGCTATATGAGCAGTTGCAAATAGAAATGAAGGCACTACTTTCTTCTTGTTGCTGCAAGTTCTAGGACTGTACTTTCCATAAATATTTTTTCCTGAACTCTTAGTTTGCCACAGTTCATGGAGGACCACTTAACAACATGGTTTTTGTTCTACAAATCAAAGCACATAGAACCATAGAGTTGGAAGGGACCCTGAGGATCATAGAGTCCAACCCTCTGCAATGCAGGAATCTTGCCCATCGTGGGGCTCGTACAGTGGTGCCTCGCAAGACGAAATTAATTCGTTCCGCAAGTCTCTTCGTCTTGCGGTTTTTTCGTCTTGCGATGTACGGTTTCCCATAGGAATGCATTGAAAATCAATTAATGCGTTCCTAGGGAAACCGCCTTCTGTCCCCGGACCTCTTCTGAAGGCTGGGGGGGGGGGGACAAGGGCTTTTCTTCCCACCCCCAGCATTTTAAAAAACCCTGGGACAGCGGAGGACTTCTCCGCTGTCCGGGCGATCTTAAAATGCTGGCGGGCGGCATTTTAAAATCGCCCCGGGACAGCGGAGGACTTCTCCGCTGTCCGGGGCGATTTAAAAGCCCCTGGGAAGGCAGGCAGGGGGGACAAAGACTTTCGCCCCCCGCCCGCCTTCAGAAGGTGTTCCCGCCCCCCCCCCCCGGCCCGGCTTCGCAGCAGCGCTACGAAGCCCGGTGGCAGGGGCAAGTGTTCCCGCCCCCCCCCACCCCGCTTCGGAGCAGCGTTCCGAAGCGGGGTGGCTGGGGCAGGTGTTCCCGCCCCCCGGCCGGCTTCGCAGCAGCGCTACGAAGCCCGGTGGCTGGGGCAAGTGTTCCCGCCCCCCCCACCCCTCTTCGGAGCAGCGTTCCGAAGCGGGGTGGCTGGGGCAGGTGTTCCCGCCCCCGCCCGGCTTCGCAGCAGCGCTACGAAGCCCGGTGGCTGGGGCAAGTGTTCCCGCCCCCCCCACCCCGCTTCGGAGCAGCGTTCCGAAGCGGGGTGGCTGGGGCAGGTGTTCCCGCCCCCCGCCCGGCTTCGCAGCAGCGCTACGAAGCCCGGTGGCTGGGGCAAGTGTTCCCGCCCCCCCACCCCGCTTCGGAGCAGCGTTCCGAAGCGGGGTGGCTGGGGCAGGTGTTCCCGCCCCCTGCCCGGCTTCGCAGCAGCGCTAAAAAGCCCGGCGGCTGGGGCAGGTGTTCCCGCCCCCCCACCCCGCTTCGGAGCACCGGGAGAAGCGATCTCCCCGCCGCCCCTTGCTTCAAAAGAGAAGACCCGCTGTCCCCGGGGCAAGCTTCGTTTTGCGAAGCAAGCCCATAGGGAAATTCGTCTTGCGAGGCAACTCGAAAACGAAAAAACCTTTCGTTTTGCGAGTTTTTCGTCTCGCGAGGCGTTCGTCTTGCGGGGTACCACTGTACTCACAAACCTGAGATTCAGAGTCTCATGCTCTACCAACTGAGCTATCCTAGCATACATTAATGATATTTAGATAATGGATGTGCATGTGTTTTGTGAGTATGGTTCTGCGAGACTGAGTGTATCAGTTTTTAAATCACTATGGGGCCAAGTGCAAATACTGTTTGACTGTTGTTGGTGAACCACAGTTTGAGAACCTTTATCCTAGAATGGGGAACCTATGGACCTGCGGCTCTTGTTGGACCCCCAAGTCTCATTAGCATGGCTAAGGGTGGAGGATGGGATTTGAGAGTTCACATCTGGAGGGCCATAGCGCCCCCCTCCCCCCGTTCCCCATGCTCTAGTATTTGTCTCCTCGCTATTTTTACTTCTTCATATCATAGTAAATGAATCACACTTTAGGATAGCACGTTTTCAGTAATATATTTAATGTACCTTTGGAAAAGTAATATGATAGCAGTGAATTTCCTTTTTTCTTTTGTTTGACATTTTCTTTTAAAAAAACACACATTTAGTTCATTGTGAAGAACTCAGTAGAGGAAAACATGCTGAAAATCCAGGAGAAGAAGAAAGAACTTGCGACTGGAGCCTTTGGAAACAAGAAATCTTCTAGTGAAACAAAAATTAACGAAATCAAGACTTTGATGGATTTATAAGTTGAGATGTTAGGCTCAGCTAAAGACAGCCGACCTGATGTTACTTGTTCAATCAGTGTGTACATAGCTTTAGAATTACTCTGTTAAATCATCATTGGCATAAGATGTGCCATGTAACAAGCAGGCTGATGCAGCTACCATTATTATTATTATTAATTTTATTTTATTTTAGGCTGCATTCCTAAGGCACGGTGGCTCTCAATTTTAGGACAGATGAGAACTTTAATTACTCTCATTTTTCTTTCTATCCCCTTCCTCCTGGCCACCATTTCCCTGGGAAATAAAAAAAAAAAGATTTTTGTTAGCTCCTCAGGTGGAGTATTTTTTTTTTTCTAGTGTTGGGGGACTGGGTAGGAGCAGGATTCTTTGGATCCAAGCCTCTCCTGCATGTCCCAAATCTCCCAAAATCTTCCCCACTTGGCATCAGAACTGACATTGGTAGGGCCATAGCCACAGAAGTTTCTGCAGCAGTGGTTGTGGGGGACCAACATCAGATCTCCTTTGCTGAAGTACAGGGGGAGAACCAATGTATCCTATATTGCCTGGGACTGCAGGCATAGGATTTAAGATGGTAACTATCCTGAACACCTGGGCTTCAAAACACAGTTAAAGCAGTTCTTTATCACCATGTTCTTTAAATGTACTGGTGCCCTTTTATCAAATTTTCTTGAATTGTGCTTAGTGTACAAAGGGCAGGTATTACTAATAACAAAGAATACTGTTCTTTAGAGTTAAATGAGTCACCTAGCAGTGTCATATTTTATTTGTGTGTTGGGCAGATTGACAATGACAAACACCAACATGCTTTTGCCTCTGCGGTGAATGCCAGTTAGATAACCTAGTTCATGTACTCCTGTAACTGTCTACATCAGTAGAAAAGGATTGTAAAATGAGGATGTGTATGACCAGAATTAAGTTCCTTCTTTTTTTTTTGCTAGACTATATCCAAACAACTATATCCAAACAATCTTAACTCCTAAAAGTAAAATATTTCATTTTAAGTTATAGCTTCACAATTTTTAGTTAATTGCACATTCTTAATTTTACAGTGATATGACTTAAAACGGTCTATAGATTGTTGTCCACTATATACTGAGTTTTCTACTATCTTGTACAGCTAGAATCCGGATTTAGGAAATCATGTTTACTGAAAACAAGTAAACTTTTGTCTGAGTTGATACGCTGCCTCCATTCTCTTGCTGCAAAGTCATTCAAGAAATAGCATCGCTTGAAATAGTGAAACCTCAGTAATTCGGAAGTTTTATTTCTAGGTAAATAAAATTGTGGCTTATGCAGACTCATGCCTGTAATCATTAACATTTTATAATGCTTTTTGTTTATCTACACAGTATGACCTGTGAAAACAGCAACTGAGGCATAAGCTCCTGACAGATCTTGTAAAAATGCACAAGGAGAATCTAATAAACTTTATATCCGTGGGCTTCTCGCCCATCGCTTAGCTTATCTGCTAATCAGAAATCAAAATCTCTAGTGCTGATAAACATTCCCCTGCTGTCCCCATTCTATGCTAGTCACTCTTAGCAAGTAGTTAAAACTAGTGGAACACAGAAGAAAACACATTGAGGTGTGGCGTACTCCTGTGCAGCATTCTGTAACCAGCAAGCCACTCACTTCCTCTCATCATTGTGCCATTTGAGATTTTCCCATCCTTTCTTTTTTTCTTAAAGCTTTTGTTTGTTTGATTGTTTGTTTGGCTTCATAAGGATTACCATGTAGGATATAATTTGATGGATGAGTGCTTTCAGTGCACAAAGGGTAACATGATCTAAGAGTGAGTAGCCTTTCCCTGTTTTCCCTTAACAAGACAGGAACACAATTTTCCCTTGATAGTACATCAGGCGAGCTATCATCACTGGGCCACAGCTCCTGCCATCCCTGACCATCGGCCATACTGGGTGGAGAAGATGGGAGCTTGAGATCAGCATCTCTATAGCTCCCCTGCCCTTGCTGAGATACTATTAAATTATGATGGCAGTTGTTTATTGTGGCAGTCTTCTATGGACACCACAGAAATGGGGAAATTCAACTATGCTAGTGGGACGTGCATGCATCCAGCAAGTAGCCAAAACATTTATAAAAGAGGAAAATAATGTAGTGTTGTCATAGTGACATGGCGCACCTCCCCTACTCCTGAATTTACTAAGTGGCCTCAGGTAAGTTGGGGAAACGTTTTGGCCCAATAGATCAGAACTTGTGAATTCTTCACTTTCAGAACTTGTCTAGCCTCCTACCACAGAGGCAATGCTAGTTAACAGACCTGGTGAAATACAACCCTTGTCTGTGGCGATTGGATGTTACAAATCTGTACGTCTCATTCAGTTTGGTCTGTCGAAGCCAGGCATAGGCAACCTCTGCCCTCCAGATGTTTTGGGACTACAATTCCCATCATCCATGACCACTGGTCCTGTTAGCTAGGGATCATGGGAGTTGTAGTCCCAAAACATCTGGAGGGCCAAGGTTGCCTATGCCTGGTCTAAGCTTTCATTAAAAAAGGAAGCATTGCTAAAAGCTAGGAATGAGAAAACTGAAGACTGAACACTAGTGTGTCACAACAGTAGTTAGGCTGTAGGAGTGGTAGTTAAATATGAAGCAGAATGATGTAGTGTTGTTGGCCTAAGATAAATACCAAATACTTTAATGAATGTAGAGCAGAAAATAGACGCTTGAGAGAAGAAACATGGCCTGTCAATAGAGCTTAGTATAGATATACAACAGAGGTCTGGCAGAAACGAGTATCCAATATAAAGGTGACGAGGAGCGGTAAATCTGCACTTGATAGCCCATTTAAGCAACAGGCACAAACAGTTGTTTAGCTGCATGATTTCTAACTTGTTTAGCTGCATGATTTACTAATGCCATAGTTCTCCTGCTTTATTTTTACCATCAGTGATTGCAGGTGTGGCAGAAATAGGCCGCTTCTGAAAGGATTTAATGTAGAAGTAGGAGCTCGGAAGTGCTTTCTAGTTTAAAACTACCACCATCCATTGTGATTTTGCTATTTGTGTTTAAAAAATTGAATTAGCCACCTTCCCGCCTTCTTAATCTATAAAGGATAGCAGTGGTTGTTTACAGTTTTATGACAAGTTTGCTTGCCCCTGTTTGGACATACATCACTCTCAAACTACTTAAATACAGAAGGTAGCTTCAAAGGCTATTTTTAGCTCCTATTTACTGAATCATTGCTTCTTTTACCAAAGGTGTTTGCATCCCTCTGCTTGGCAGAGTTACCCTGCAGTCTGCTTGCTTAAACACACACACACACACACACACACACACACACACACACACTGCCTTTTCTGCAACCACCTACAACAATCTCTGCTCTTTCAGCTGCGGGCATCATTAGAATAGCCCTATCACACTACCTAGCAGTTCAAAAGCACGTCAAAGTGCAAGTAGATAAATAGGTACTGCTCCTGCGGGAAGGTAAATGGCGTTTCCATGCGCTGCTCTGGTTTGCCAGAAGTGGCTTAGTCATGCTGGCCACATGACCCGGAAGCTGTACGCCGGCTCCCTCAGCCAATAAAGCGAGATGAGCGCTGCAACCCCAGTCGGTCACAACTGGACCTAATGGTCAGGGGTCCCTTTACCTTTACCACACTACAGCTATGAGGAAATTGCTAAATGCATATGGACCATAATGCAGGGGAAACCAGTTCCAAGTTTGTTTTTGTTGTGTCAGTCATGCCACCCAAGAAAAGGACATTTTTTCCTAACAAAGTATTTATAAACTTAATACATTTGAACTGGTAAGGCAGTTACAGGGGACTACTGTTCCCGTTTCATTTAAATGCCTGAACATGTATTTATAGTAGTTACAGGAGTTCAACAGATTCCTTCCCTGACTTAAAACAACATGCCTCTTGAATAATGCTACTAGGAGAAAAAGCAAAATTAGAACTGGAGTCCTTAATATGGTGCTTGATGGTTTCTCACTATTGAGAAAGAGCTTCTTCCTACCTCAGGAATGTACAGTATTTCTGAACCTGAACACTTTCAGAATGAGCACACAGCCTGCTAGTGGGAAGTACTATATAATAACTTGCACTTTTCTGTATTTGGCAACAATACAGTGGCTTTCTGGAAACACTCTGCACTTTGCAATAATGTACAGGGACATGTTATAACTGGATGAATGTAGTTCAGAGTGCTGCAGCGGGCAAGGGTTGATTTTTATTTAATAGATATGAGTTCTAAAGTCAGCTTTACATATGATCACCCTTCTGAGCCATTCATGTAGTTGTGCTGTGTTAAACACTTATTTTTAATTATATAATCAGGCATTTTAATGGTGCACTAAAATTAACCCAGGCTAACAGCCCACAGAATAGAAACAAATCTGGTTCATGTATATATGCACACTTCATAAAGCCTTGTTTGCACCACTACTCTGTTGACATGGGCGAGGAGTATATTGAGAGAAATATATTCACTTCCATTAAAGGATGGCTGTTAGGTCTTTTGTTGGCTAGGTGTCCGACAGCATTTGTGTAAGCACTTTGACCACATCTTTATGGCAGCCATTGTTTTCTTAAGCCAGAAATTTAGTTCTGTTTTAGATGAACTACAGAAGAATCCAATGGAACTCAAAGACACACACACTTCCCATTCTCCTTCGCACCATGTGCCACACCTATGATCTTACCATTACTATTTACCATACTAAAGAGGAACACAGAACCAGTTTTAGCCCAGCAAAAATGTAATGGTGGAACAGATGCTTTTCAGTAATATTGAGCAAATCTTTCACAAGCTCTGCTCTGAAAGCTTATGCTGATGTCACAGCCTACAGAGGTTGAGCAGTAGGCTTGAGGGGGCAGTTTTTACTGCCACTTGACAAAAGTTGAGTAGTGCTATAGGTTTTACCATGATTTCTTTTATTGTGCATGTTCAGTGCCATTTTACAGGTTAACAGTTCAAAGGTTTGCTAGTCCCAGAAGTACACAGAACTGAACAAAAGTATCTGCCATGCTATAGGTACTGTGCATAGAAGTCTGGTCAGAAGTCTTCCATATGGCTGGAATCGACAGAAAAGCAATGTTTTTACACAGATTGCTGCTGCATGTTTTTTTTGATGTCCTTACTGTAAGGCCCCTTTCACTGTAGCTGCCTTAACCTCTAGTCTTTATTTTTACATAGCAAGCAAAACATGGTGGTTGGGGTTTTTTTTGGGGGGGAGGGGGTGAAAGGAAGAGGTAAAGCACAACAGTCCTATAGGTGTAAGCCTGGAGTATCACGCCAGTCCAGTGTCCTTTTCCCAACAAGTTCTTTTACAGGTTTTGTGCAAGAGGAGAAGATCTGGCTACTGGACACATGATTGGCACAAGGATAAGGATTCATACTTAGAACAACAGCTTTTGCTCAGTTCTTACCTGCGGTACTGCCAACAGCCTTCTGCTGAGCAGTGGGCAAAGCTGCTAGCAAGTTTAATTTGACCCTATCTGACTTTCCTAGTTGCTATAGCTGTGAAACACGTCCTTGTATTGCTGTTGTCTGTAGAGCAGATACAAGTGCGCCTCTACTGGAGGTAGGTGTCAAGTTTTTTCTTGATGTTGTCAAAGCTGTCTGCTCCCATGTAGTCAGCCTGGCCCTGCTCCCATCTCTCTTTGCGCTCTTCTGAGGATATAGCTGGCGGTGACGGCGGCGAGTTTGGCACGGCTGCAGATGAAAGTGACAAGTGGGACACGGCCTCCGCTACCTCTTCCTGAAAAGAGAGAAGAATGAGTGGGAGAGGTACCACTGCATTGTTGTAAGAAGGGGTAAGGCGTAAAGCGACAGAGCAGCGGGTAGGAAAACCAACGAGAGATTCCCATGCAAAGCAGCAAGCACCATTTACACAATGAAGGAGCTGTAAAATAATGAAGGGCATATCCAAGTCAACGAGACAGCAGATGGGTAGTTTAGCAACAGGTGTAAGTTCTTCATACCTCTCTGCAGAAGCCACAAGAGAAAGCCAGTGTATAGACCAAGCCCGATAGCTGCAACAGTTCATTAGAAAGGTGAAATAGGGGAAACAGAAAGCATAGCTAAAGAACAGATCTTTCTGCAACCCAAAGGTACTGCACTTAACTACTGTTTTCTGTATACCAAGCTTAAGTGTTCAAAGCTGCACTGCATGCATGAGAAGCTAAAGCCAAGTAGTTTTGGCTAGCTAAGACAGGGAAGGACTAGAGTCATGACAGTTCTCGCTTATCATCATTGAGAATCTGCAGGTACACCTTTTCATTACAATACAAAAATCCAAGATGGCAGGTACAACCCCACCATTAGAGATAAGCAGATCAACTGCCACTTCTGTTTGCATAAGGGAGCTGATAAAAAATTGCAAGCACATCCACATGAAAATCAATTTTTGACAAGTTTGCATATGTGGTGCTGCCAAGCACTGCAAACAGAACATGAAGTGTCTGGAGGTTTCACGCACGAGTCCTAAGCCGTCTAAG